ATGAAGTTCTGAGAAAATTAATCAACAACAACATACAATAACACAAGATATTATGTAATGTTTCAAGATACACCTTTTTTTAAATTAATCATGGATGTCGAACAAATTATGAAGTTCATCTAGTTTATGAATCTATGAAGAAGAAATATAAGGTGAATAAAGTTACATAATAGCTTCACACTTCTTGTATTTCTCTTCATAGCTACACAAGCTATATGTATCATAGCCAAAGTACGTGCTTTGTTAAAATGGTGAAGACGAATTTGAAAAAATGAGAACATTCACCAAATGAAAAAATGAGAACCTATTTTAGCAAGAAACGTAAACGAAATCGAAGCATAAGTTTAACGAACGAACCTCAAGTTAGCGATTGGTGAAGACGAATCTGAAGATGCATCTGAAGGCTAAAGTATGTTTAAAGAGTGACATGGATGTTAGGGTTATGTTATGAGAGAGAAGAGTGAAATATGTTAGGGTTTTCTTTTGAGAGAAACGACTGTTATGTACTGAACGATAGATACTTTCGCTTATATACTAAAAAATATCACTTTTTATCACGGTTAGAAAGAAAAATCGTGATGCAATCAAATTTTACAACGGTTGTATTGTAAAATCGTGGTTAAATAACTTTCAAATTTTACAATGGTTGGTTTACTTCACCGTTGTAAAATCATTTTTATTTTTTTCAATAATGGACTTAAGTGACACACGCTTAATGTATTCTAAAAAATGGAAAAAGTGTAGTTGCTGGGAATCGAAGCTTGCTACACATCATTTATTACTATAGTGTTTTAAGACAATCGTCATTAAAATATTGTTTATAAATCTAGCTACTCGTTGGGCGCGGAAATTTTAACCTATTATAACGGTGTATATGAACCTGTTGTAAACCTAGTGTTGTTGTTTGCACATTTTGTAGTAGTGAACACATTATGTATTTTCATGTTGTTTGCAGATAGTTGTACCCATTATTCATCACGTTTGGTATTGTGGTCCCGAACTTAGCTTGAAAGGTACATTGTGGTCCTTCGACATTGAAACTACTGAGATAGGTCCACATGTTTTAAATTTACATTCTTTTTTATTGAAGTTTGGTCTACGACTTGTCTTTTACTTGCAATGTATTTAGTTAATTGGTTTTTCTGCATACAAGTGTGTTTTATGGGTTCATTGTTGTCCGTTATTTTCCATCCATTATGTAGGCATGGGTGTCTTTAAGGTAGTATTCTACACAAATGGAGGTTTTGTAAAAGAGCTAATGTTAAAGTAGTAGGATGAGGAAGTTTACGCATTTAATGGTCAGGATAATGATTATTAGTCCTTTTTTGAGGTGTGTGATTTAATTAAGGTAATGAATCTTGGGTTTGAATATAATAATGTTAGGGTGTGGTGGAAACATGGTGATGGTACTTTAGAAACTGGTCTAAAGCCATTTAGAGATGATGGTGATGCATTTGAGCTAATTGCCTTTGTTCAAGAATGAAAAGGTGATGTTGAAATATACACTGAGCCTAAACCAACTACAGGGGATGCAACATTTATGGAGAATGCAAGAAAGAGGAACAAGGGGATACTAGGTGAAAATGATGTTGAGTCATGTATTGATGATGGTTCTAGTGATGAGTCAGTGAAAGATATCAAATTTGAAGATAGTGAAGAAGAAATTATGAATGGTTTTGATGAGGCTTTTGGTGGTCAGCCCATAAATATACCTGATGCAAATGTTACATGCATTAGTGAGGCAGTGAAACAAAGTTTTATTACACCAGAGATGGGAAAGGAACATGTAATTAAAGATGGGTATATGGCTGATGAGCTTGATAGTGGTGATGAAGATGACAATGGTGATGATAGGCCAAATGTTGTTAGGTTCGATGACGAAGATAAGATTACAAAGGAATATAAGTTCAAGGTGGGAATGGAATTTTCTTCATTAAAGTGGTTCAAGAGTGCTATTTTGGAACATAATGTATTGAATGTGAGGGATGTCAGATTTGAGAAAAATGATGCAATGAGATGTAAGGTGGTTTGCAAGGAAAAATCATAATGTAATTACACTGTGCTGTGTAGTAAAGTCTTAATGTCAACAACATTTAAAATTAAGACCTTGTATGCTAAACATAAGTGTGGAAGACAGTTTTTTCACAAGAGTGCCAAAGTTGATTAGGTTGCAAAAGTAATTGTTGATAGGATGAAGAATAATAACAAAATGAAGTTGAATGATGTAATTGCAGATGTTAGGGTGAGGTATGCTACCGAATCCCTGGTTGTACAACATTTAAGGCAAGACAGATTGCCAAAAGGATAGTGGAGGGAGACTCTGGCAAACAATACAGTCTGTTATGGTCATATGGGGCTGAATTGAGAAGGGCCTCACCAAGAAATACCTTTAAGATGAGCATTCAATCTCCAGGTTCAGGTTTATTACCAAGGTTTAAAAGGTGTTATATGTGCTTTGATGGAACAAAGAAAGCTTTAAAATATGGTTGTAGGCCATTTATTGGACTAGATGGATGTCATCTAAAACACAAGTATGGTGGGATATTATTAATAGTTGTGGGAAGAGATCCTAATGACCAATATTTACATAATGCATTTGGAGTTGTAGAAACTGAGTCAAAGGACACTTGGAGTTGGTTTATGCAGCTACTTTTTGAAGACATTGGTGATAGAAGGCGGTGTTTCATATCTGACCAACAAAAGGCATGTAAAATTCTTGTTCTATTTGGCTTACTAGATGTTATATTCATTGCTTGCAACATGAACTGATTTCCTGTTTTTTTCAGGGTCTTGTGCAGGTGTTTGAGGAGCAATACCCATCATTTGATCATAGGTTTTATGAGTATCAACAGCCAGCTGTAAACCAAGGCCTTTCGAAGCCTAGTGGTGTCAAAACCTTCTTTGGGAGTGCAAAAAAAATAAAACCCTCTAAAGCATTCAAGTCTCCAAGAAATGTCAAGGCAACCCACAGTGATCCTATAAGTTTGGTCATACTTGCTAATATTTCATTTATTTTCTGTCATTTAAGTTTGATCATGGCTGCTAATTCAAAATTTAGGTCAAGTCTATGGCTCCAAAGAAGCAACAAGTCTCAACAACTGTGGTGCATACCAAAAAGAGTGAAAAACTCATGACTATAAAAACAAATGGCATCAAGGGGCCTGGAAGACACTTTGAATATCTAGTTGTACTCACTGAAGAGGATACCTCAAAACAACCAATCAAGAGGGATAGAAAAATTTGGGATGAAATTCAAAAAGGCTTGACTAAATGAGGATAGAATTTGAAGACTTTGAATTTAATGTTGTATCTCTTAGCAGTGACTTCTATTTTGCAAACTTTAAGTTGTATCCATAAGTGTATTTTGAAGACTTTGAATTACTATGTTTTAGGGTTATTCTGTAATGTATGAGCATTGACTTATAATTTTATTTAGACTACAATCTCAGACCATGTATTGGATCATTATGGGTATGATATTTTAATGAATATATTTCATGTCAGTTTGCTGTCAGATTGTTTGTCAATATGCCAATGTTGTAGGCCATAGTATGCCAAAATTGAGGCAAAGTATGTCAAAATTTAGAAGTGACTATGCCAAAATTTTAGTCATTAATCACAATGATCAAACACAATTTCATTACATTGATCTAACACAATTCCATTAGAAACAGTTTGAAACAGATTCATTACATTCATCAAACACAATTACATTAGAAACAATTTGAAACACATTCATTACATTGATCAAACACAATTACATTGTACCAAATTTTAGAAACACAATGATCAAACACAATTCCATTAGAAGCAATTTGAAACAAAATAATTACATTGATCAAACAACCTTACTTCAACTATTATATTTCATTATTAGGTAGACATTAATCATAAAAGAAACTACAATACAAAAAAGCTTGATTTTTCTAGCCCATGCCTCTGATCTCAATTTCGCTTGCAGCTTCATGTTCTTCTTTTTGGAACCTTTTTACAATTCCCTCAGCAGTTCAACCCTCTCTAATTCCTTCAGCTTGTAGTTTTATACCTGTTCAACACCATTAACATCTTTTTCAGCCAAATCTTCACCCCATATGAAAAAATCATAAGTTTCTTCACTATGCCAAAATGGACATCTCCAGAAAAGCCTGTCTTTATTTCAACCATTCTTGCAGACGTATGAAACCATACGAGCTTCACAATCACAATTCCTTCCTCGACGTCATCTCACAGAGGACGAAGAAATGCTCTTGGATTTCGTAGAACTTGTTCTCGCATACGACATCAATCTTTCTTTGATGATGAAGCTTTGTCTGCAATTAGATCACAGACGAAGAAGAAGAAAAACGTCACAAAGTTAAAAAAGGGAATGAAAAGAGGATGAAGGCGAAAGGGAATTAAGTTACAATTACAATTACACAAAGTTGTGATAAGATCAATATGCTGACTTGTAATCCATTTACACACATGGTAATCACTACTTGTCCAATTAATTAAAAAAAATTCCAAATCAACGTCCACGTATGATTCCGTTAAGTGAAATAAACGGTAGAGACATATAATAAAGACAAAAACTAAATTTTGTAATATTTATTCAGACCTGTAACATATTAAACCCTTCATAATGTTACTATGACCTTCAACCTATAAATTCTTTCCCAGAGTCCCAAAATTATTATGTAAGATTTAAAATACTTAATTCTTACTAAACTTTACCGAACAATATCTTATTCACAAGTGTGTTTTTACAGAATAATATATATCCTATTTATAAGATTAAAAAATTAGACAATATAATCAACCCGAACTATTACACCTAAGAAAGAAAAGTTATTTTAAATTAAACAATTAAGATAAATGTAATAATATTCTTTATACATTATTTTAAGACAATTAAATTAAAAACAGATAGAGAGAGAAAGTCTACAGTATACGTGATTCCTTAACAACACTTTTTAAGACTCTTCGTTATTCTTTGCATCTATTCTCTTGTCACTCTTACAATGGACCTTTATACTCATCCACCACCATCACCTCCACCAGATTCCGCCACCGTCACCAACAACGGCGAAGCCACATTGGATGAAAACCTAGAATCACCACCACCGTCACCACCACCACCACCATCGTCTTCATTATCACCACCACCACCACCACCATCTTCTTCATTATCACCACAACCACCACCGCCAGAACTTCAACTCCCAATATGTTGGCCAGAAAATGGAATTCTAACAATAGAATGGATCCAAAACCTAATACTCTGCTTCGATTGGTCCTCCAAAAATCTCCCTCCCTCCGAATTCCCTTCTGTTCTCCCCGTTCAAGTCTTCGATTCCCTCATCCTCATCGCTTCCAAAATGCTTCACAAGGAACCTAATTGCATCCCTATACAACCCTTCCGTCCCGAACCTGATTCTTCTGCATCCGTTGTCGTTGTTGGAGACGTTCACGGTCAATTGCATGATGTTCTTTTCCTTTTCCGAGAGGCTGGGTTCCCTTCTCGGGATCGAATCTTTGTATTCAATGGTGATTATGTTGATCGTGGAGCTTGGGGACTCGAAACTTTCTTGCTCTTGTTGGCTTGGAAGGTAAATTTTCAACAAAAAAAATTGGTAAAGTTTGAGTTTTTAATTTTCTCTTAATTGTTTTTTTGAAGTTCAATTTTCAATGCTTGGATTTTGTGCTTTTTGTTAAATAATGTGCTATAATGGTTTCAAGTGATTGAATGTGGAGAGTTTAGTTAAGAATGATATCATATACTATGAATTTATGATGCATTGTTTTACCTACTGTTAGAAATTGAAATAGTATTACTTTTATGTTAGTTTTTCTAACTAACTTGATTAAGCTAGGGTTTATGTTAGTGTGTTTTCGGAAAGGTTTGGAAATGGATTCTCTGTTCGATTTTGTTTATGTTTTGCAATGTATTTTAGCCGGTTTCAGCATAACCATTTGATTTTAATTCTCAGATTTTGTTTATGTTTTGCAATGTATTTTAGCCGGTTTCAGCATAACCATTTGATTTTAATTCAATGACTGAGATTGCCTTTGCATGCAACTGCTATGTGTGAAAGGTTTGGGAGATTTGGTTTGCAAAGATGTTTTATTTTCACTTTGTTATTTACTTTACTATCATTATTTTTCATCAGGTATTCATGCCGGAGAACATATATTTATTAAGAGGGAATCACGAATCAAAATATTGCACGTCTGTTTATGGTTTTGAGAAAGAAGTTATGGTAAAGTATAGTGACAGTGGTAAACATGTATACAGAAAATGTTTAGGATGCTTTGAAGGTCTTCCTTTGGCTTCTATTATAGCAGGGTGTGTATACACGGCTCATGGAGGACTTTTCCGTAGTGGAACTGTGACGCCTGCTAAGCGATTAAAAGGAAAGAAGAATCGTAGGATTAATGTTAATACTGACAGCAAAAGGCTATCACTTGGTTCTTTGGAAGAGTTGTCTAGGGCTCGACGTTCTGTCCTTGATCCTCCTTGGGAAGGACAGAACTTGATTCCTGGTGATGTTTTGTGGTCTGACCCTTCTCAAACCAACGGCCTTTCTCCAAACAAAGAAAGAGGCATTGGATTGATGTGGGGCCCCGATTGTACTGAACAATTTTTGAAGAAGTACCAATTGAAGGTAATAAGCAAGCTACTTTTAACTTCACGGCGGCACACTCAATTTTCCTGCTAGAATTTATTAGAGTCATTATAACAGTAATCATGTTTATGTGTGACAACCTTAAGTCCTTAACGTCTAATCAACTACAAGATGGCCTGAATGCTTGCCGACTATTTGTCTTGTGCATTGTGTGCTATTCTTTGTTTTATTTTAGTCTCTTGTTTTTCTTGTTAACTATTTATAATCAATATATGGATTGTAACACATTTTTCATTTCAGTTAATTATCCGGTCACATGAAGGCCCTGATGCTAGGGAGAAGAGGCATGGTTTTGAGGGAATGGCTGAAGGATACACTATTGATCATGTTGTAGATTCTGGAAAGCTGGTCACCGTTTTTAGTGCTCCAGATTACCCGCAGTTTCAGGTAATTAATTATCTTGGCTAGACATGCATGATGCATGATTTACACTCTAATGTTTAACCTACATTGTAGGTTCTTATAACTAGCTGCGCGTTACAATCCTCAATAGGCATAAACAGATTTTTCTGATGTTAACTCTTCTGTTGAGAGGGTTAACATCTGTTAGTCACGTACTCACATTAGTGTCATTCGGAGTTGAAAATATGACTTTATTTGTATGAGATGTAATATATAACTATAACTATGATTAGTATCTTCACAAGGATTCAGTTATGGATTGAAAGCCTTGGCACAATGGTAATATTGCTGCCGTGTGACATAGTTGTCATATTTTCTAGTTGCGGAAATAGTTTTTCTGCTCGTAATCTCGCTTCTTTATCTTGCTGAGATGAATGTAAATTATCTTTTTTATTTTGCTTTAAATAGCACTCTTATAAGTGAACCCTGTAGGAAAATATTAAAATTTTTGCAGCTCGATCAAGTAATTCAGACGTTTCTTAGACTTTATGTTGGGGAATGACTAGGCCTGATTATGGTTCAATTAATAAGAAAAACCAAACTGAACTCAAAAAACAGTTTTCATGAACAGAATTGAACTGTTATAAATTTAGGAGAACCAAACTAATCTGATTTTGAGGTTCAGTGCACTGCTGTACTGGAGGAATATAAGAACTGACTTAAGCCCCGGCTGCTGTAACTTTTACAGCATGTGTGCTCTGAATTGAAACACTAAACTGTGAGATGCGTGTTTATGATTAGCTACTTGAATTCCTTCTTTGTTATTCCATCCGAGCCTAAACCCTGACTAAACTAAAACAAATACCAAATCTACCCCTCATCCTTAAAAAAGTATTACCTTCTTCTTTCTTCCTTTCCACATCTATTGCCTTATACTGCAGACACTCACACGGAACCTTCAGCTCCATGTTTTATGGAAGCAAGTCGGATGCCGAACTGAACTGCTATAACTAAGGTTACTGAACTGCGTCTAACACATCAATTCAATTTGATAATTTTTCTCAACCTTTTGGTAACCGTTATCAAGCTTAGAAATGACACATTTTAGAAGAGACAAATCCTGTAATTCAAATTTCACACCTCGTCTTCGCTGCTTTACTCTTTTGAATATTTGAAGCATGGTAGTATCACATTTCATTCACTCATCTTTTTTCACTCTTTGCTTCTTTGAGATCATACTGGTTTGTATTAATATAATAGGCATTGCTTCAAATGCTGATAACAATAATTTTCCGAAAACTGTTTTTTCCGGCTGCAGGCAACGGAGGAGAGGTATAACAACAAAGGTGCTTATATTGTCCTTGAGCCCCCAAATTTCGACACTCCGATATTTCATGGATTTTCGGCTGTAACTCCAAGACCAAAGGTAAAAAATGTCACTCATCTTGGTGTTGAGAAATATATAATAACCCAAACATTCAAAGAAGGAAACTTCTATTAGTACACAAGATATCTTCTACAATTTGTTAAAAATTGTGTTAAATTTTTAATTTCGACGTTGGTCTGAGGTGCAGGCGAGTCCCTATTATGATTATGAAGAAGTGATAGACTCAGACGGTGAATTGGATTTGGCCTCCATGGTAACTTCATGAGAGATTTTTGAAAGAAGTAAATATTTTGAAATTGTGAGATTTTGTAAAATTTGTATTATCATTTTTGAGAAACAGCTTTGATCATTAAATTTTAGTTGTTTCCTATTCACCCGATTTATTAAGTTTGTGATACCAATTCCCTTAAATTAAACAAGGCCCCGAAAGTACTCTTCCCTGAATAGTTTCTTCATTTCATTCCAACCTTTCTCTTATGACATTCAGATCCAAACTGGTTTAAAACAATCTTACAGTTGGAATTTGAGAAACTTGTACTAGCATGTGGCAACTTAGTTTGAGTTCTTGAATTTTATATATTTCAAGCTGACGCAATTGGTTAGAACTGTTCTTTGAAGAGTAGTGTTATGTTCTTGCTCGTTCTGTTCTTTCTGTTTTTAGTTCAGTTATGTTTTATTCTTATTTTTTTCTCTTTTAAGTTTTATTAAGTATATATGTACCGTTAAAAAAAGTATAAATGTATGGTGATCTCTTTAATTTTTGTGTATGCCTATTTTTGAGTATTTATGTTTCCTTTAGACTGTGTACTCTGTCTGAAGTATGCTTCTAGATGGCATAAAAATTGCCACGGAATTGGGGGTAGGATTTGCTACCATGCAGTTACTGTATGCTGCTGTAATCAATTTCAATCTGCTTTTTGAAGCTGTAATAAGAACCTATTGATCTCAAATAGATGGTGAAGATGATTTAGTACTGCTTTAAGAAGCTGTAATAAGAACCAAACGCGAACGATTGAGGTTTTAACTTCTCATCTTCACACTTATAGCTGATATCCTCTCATTATTTTAAAATTTCGAAAATGACTTTGTTATTAGTTATCAATTAGAATTATTTTTCTTCGAAAAAAAATTCCTTTTACTAACATCCTAAATGAAATTTTCATGCCGTATTTTTTAACATTTTTACCGGATTTTTTAAATTTACGGTGATGAAATATTGAAAATTTTAAATTTTACTGTATTCTCATGAGAAATCTTAAACTCATACCGGAAATTATTAAAATTTTTGAAAAATAACAAAAATTTGTAAAAATATAACAATTTTTGGAATATTGAAAATTTCAAAGTTCCGATATACTAAAAATTTGCATGTACTTCAAATTTTTGATAGCGGTGTAGAAAATAAAAAAAAAACTTTATTTGTGTTGTTTAGAGTTGATATACATATATTTGAGTCTCAAAATATTGACAAACATCATGGTGTTATTGTTGTGACTGTACGTTTTGATACTACAAATGAAAAGCTGATTCGCGGTCCCTCGCAGATCAAAAACGAGTAATTTTAGGAAAATGCAGTACAGCGACAGTGACTCGGAATATCGTCTCACAAGGATTCTTGCAGGAATAATCAAATATAGTAACGAAATATGGAGGGTTTTGATTAAGATAAAATAAACGAAAAATAAGTGATTAGAAAAAATGATTGTAGTAATGAGTTGAAACGGCTAATCTATTGTTTTCGTTTCCCAACTTATCATCGATCCTAATAATTCCCAATTCCTAAGCGGATTCTATCCCCTTTCCGATTATAATAACAATCAACAAGCGCAATTGATATTATACGATACACGTTCCTAATTTCTGAATTAAGCAAACAGATAAAATAGTAACCGTGAATTAAGCAAACACGAGAAACATACGCGGATTAAGCAACCGCGATTAAAGTATAAGAACATGCAATCATCGAAATAAATCAATCATCCCTAAGATAAATCGAATTAAGCAAACAAAATATCATAGAGAAGAATTGAAAGGAAATAGATTTTATTGGAAGTTAAAAGAACCTCAAAGTGTTGGCGGGAACCGATTACAGCAGATTAATCCGAAGGAATTAGTTCTCCATAATTCATACAAAGCTCCAACAAATATTTGCGTGAATATTGAATAGGATACTGTAAACGAGGTTTCCCCTCAAAATAAAACAATGGATTCAGTTCATAACCCAACTGGGTCAAAAACATAACTCAGGCCCAAAACAAGATCAAAACTAAAACAAAATTCTAATGTTGTAACTTGAAACGAAATTTTGGAATTTTGAGCTCCGAATCTGACTTCGACTCCAACACGAAAGTCGTAGCTCTCTCTCTTAGCTTTCTGGTGATTTTTAGAACGCCTCAAACGGATTCCCGAAACTCCAGTTATGATTGTTTCCGTGCAGACTGCTAAAGCTGAAAAATAAGTGCGAAAATTAAATTAAACCAAAAATAAAATAAAATATGAAAACATAATAAAATATAATAATAAACAAAATAAAATAAAGAAATAAGTAAAAATGTAGGAGAATGTGCATAAATATGCACTGATCAAATTCCCCCGGACTTGAACTTTTGCACTCCGAGCAAAATTAAAACAAAAAAAGGGAAGCACACACACATCAATAGTTACTCATTCCAGGCTACAAGTTTTCATCGCTTAAGTTTGCATCGATAGGTACTAATCTTACACACTAAGGATATCGTAGGAACACTAATCCACAATTGTGTGGTCATAAGACTCCCTCCTTTACAAACCAATCCAAATCATGTCGTTATGTCTAAGTCTAACTTACTCATCCTCTTTTTTTTTTCTCTCTTTCATTCTAGTGCAATCACATTAAGCCCTTTATCTATTCACACACATGGTAACTGAGCTTGTTAGTGACTATGATCCATTTTTTTCTCAACAATTTAGAATTAAACTTTTTTTGTCTTTTCTTTTTTTTCTTTTTCACTTTTTGTCTTTCTCTTTTTCTTTTTTTTTTCCTTCTTATTAAGCACATGATCATTCACTTATTTGCATCAGCTCAACTACTTAGCATGTGATTTCTAGATGGTGCTGACTGATAAATAAACTACTTAAAAGCTATTAGAGGACGAGAACTCAAGACTATGCCATAACAAGTATCTAACTCGACTTCCATATTTTGGAGACTCAAGGTGTTAAAACGATATCGATCTTATGAATTGTTCCCAAGTCTCTGCAAACTAATCCCAAATTAGACTATAGCCCAGAACTTTCAAAAAGATGCAAATAACTGAAAACAAAACAAAACAAAATATAAAGCAAAGGTTTCCCTCCCCCAGACTTAAAACAAGCATTGTCCTCAATGAAAGGACATAAATATAAAATAAGAGTGAGGGAAAGGAAAGAACACACCCGACGAGTCAAGGTGGATAAGTGATCACATATGCATCATTTCCTAAAGAGAGATTTCCTGCAGTCTCCTCTTCCAAAGTGGGGAGTAACTTTGGATAACATCCATCGCCCTTGAAATTTGTATTAGTGCCTTCACCTTTTATTCCAGGATCAAATAAGAATCTTCGATAAATAAAAGTGTCGAATGGGAACGTGAATTTGATATCCTTTTCCACAACATCAGAGATCAATGGGTTAAGGGGTTGCTTCACTGCTTTTCTTCCCACTTCCATCGAGGTCCATCCAATTCCCTTCTTATGTTTCTTCAAAACCTGTAAAGGTTTATTATCTTCATCAAAATCAAGGTTAGAAGGAATTATAACTGAAAGCTTTTTATCCATATCTGAATAAGCATAATTCAGATTGGTATGAATTGGTTTAAGCTCCAAGGGGGGAGGTTGTTCAATGGATGGTGAGGTTGGGGCAGCCGTGATGTTAAGAGTTTTAGCTACATAAATAACTTCATCTGCATGAAAAACATCACCCTGTACGGCAGCATTAATCTCAGCACAAACAGAGCAAATGTTAATGTCGGTACATGAATCACAAGAGTAAGTATCATCAAAATCTGCTAATGATGGAAAATCAAAACACAATTCAGAATAAGTATCATCAACTAAATTAGAAGGAAACTCTTTTGGATTCACTACTGTTTCGGCAGATGGTTGGTTTGAATCTTGAGCTTGCTGCATGGCATTCACTATAGTGGCAAGCTGTTCAATCTGTGTCTGCAAAGCTTGAAGACTTGAATCTGTTTGTTGCTGAAACTGAAGATCATTTATAGTCATTTGCTTGACAAGGTCCTCTAGTGAAGGTTCAGAATGTGTAGAGCACATAATTTGGAATTCATTCATATGCTTATTCGGATCCTCACCTGCAAGTCCATTAAACCTTGACAACAAGTGTATTAAACTAGATTCCGATTCGAAAGGAACAACAACATCATCATATTCAATACACAAGCTATTATAATTTACATCAGGGGCAACTAATTGTCTTAAGGTTCTATTATCAGCCATTTCAAAATCAAGTTCAGTATCCGAAGCAAACAAGTTATGCAACTCAGACTCAAACACAATGATGGAAAACAATTAATTAAATTTCAAAAAAAATAAAATAATACCAGAATTAAACTAATTAAGCAAAATAACAATTATGAGAATTTTTTCGATTTTTTTCGACTCTATGAAAACAGTAAAAAATTCATTAAAAATAGAAAAAATGATTTTTTTGGCGATTCTGAGGGTGGATTCCAGGTATTCCTTTGGAATACATGGACTAATGACCGAACGATTTTTCTGCTTCTCGTAGGAAAAACAGTTTTATGATCGGACACAATTTTTCCAAAAACAGATTTTTTTACGATTTGGACTGTAAGACGCGAATTGGACGAAACCACGAGGAAACTAAGGTCTAGACTCGAGGATACTAACTAACCCTATGACTCTAAAATTGATTAATAACGACAAGAATCCCTGGCAACGGCGCCAATTTGATCCGCGATCGCTCGCGGATCAAAAATGAGTAATTTTAGGAAAATGCAGTACAACGACAGTGACTCGGAATATCGTCTCACAAGGATTCTTGCAGGAATAATCAAATACAGTAACGAAATATGGAGGGTTTTGATTAAGATAAAATAAACGAAAAATAAGTGATTAGAAAAAATGATTGTAGTAATGAGTTGAAACGGTTAATCTACTGTTTTCGTTTCCCAACTTATCATCGATCCTAATAATTCCCAATTCCTAAGCGGATTCTATCCCCTTTCCGATTATAATAACAATCAACAAGCGCAATTGATATTATACG